CTTTGTAAAAATGCCATTTTATGTACCTTGTATTTATTGTGTTTTATCCAGTTATAACACAATAACTAAACCGAACTGCGAATTCTAACTTTCAAAGAATTTTAGTCTAATGTATTGCAAATATTAACATATAAAAATTTTACTCATACATCTAACAGAATTATAAATAACTCGCTCTTGTGTCCCTGACTGTATATTACTTTATTGCTTTATTACTCCATTGTTTGAAATATGTGCTTTTAAAACTAAATTATAATAGGATACTGCCTCCCCCCTCCTCCCTCACACACTATTCTTAAATGTGTAAGTAGTAGTAGTAATTGTTGTGCAGGTGGTTCTACAAGAGGCCCAGCGTCACCTAGATCCGTAAAGTACTACTGTAACTCCCGCTTGATTTGAGAGGCTCCAAATGGCAGTCTCCTCCCAACCCCCGTTCACCCCCGTGTCAGACATCTGTCCTTCTCAGACCAGTGCCAGAGTACCACTAGGCTTTGTTTAGCTCCTGCGCTAGACACTGGTCCTACCTCGGACTTTTGCGTCAGACACCAGGCTCCGTTTAGCCCCGTGCCGGACATCAGGTCCATATTACTCGCCGGAACCTCTTTCTACCATTGGATGTTCTAATTGGCAGGAATACTCTCGGTGGTTTTGCCGTGCCTTACCGAGAGGTGGCGATCGCTTTTCCGTGCTCCGATTTGCGCCGCCAGATGCCGTAGGGCACCGTAGTTCTGGGTGGTTTTGAACCTAAATCCTCGGAACAGTAAGCTACCATGTAGCGCCCTGCGCCACGATCGCCACTGGAAAATGTGTAAGTAAATCGCATATTAATTATTATCTAAACACTCGATGTATTACAAAAAAACTGATTTAGGACATAAATAATGATATAATGTGCTGTAATAAAATACAACACTTCAAACTTGTAGGGACATCCAAATCGCATCCCTCGTCTTTGAAAGTGAAATCACTGTGAGTGAAATCATTGTTGAAATTTTACGAACCATTTCTAAACTGTATCATCAAATATTTAATATCTATAAACTTTACAAATTTTACACGCTGTTTCGCATGTCTTGCTTTTTCAGAAGTAAAACAGTATAATATTGCAAAAATGTTGTGATTCTGCCTTAGAATATATATTACTGGAAGGAAAATTGCCTATATCGTCCGTGTACCGAGCTGAAGCCAATATCTGTGCGAGAAAGAAAGGTATAGGTTCCAAGGATTCTCCATCTTTAAGGCATTATAGAATCAATATACTGAGCGTATGTCATTATGGACGTATGCATTGTTTGAAAAAAAAAAATGCTTTTTCTTATCAATTTGAAGTTTGGGCTTCCTCATTCAGTATTAGCGCAAAATTCAAACTGGTATCCGCGCAGATGTGAGAAAAATCAGAACTTTCCGGATGATTCAATATGTTTTATTTGCTATTTCATGTTTCTAATTTTAAATATAAATTCTAATTCTATATAAAATTGTTCATTCTGTATGAAATTAAACAGATCAATGGTCAGGTAACACGTTAATAAACTGTATAGGGTGAAAGCATTAGTTTTAAATCACCCTGAGGATAAAAATTCATATTTTTATATAATGAAGTTATCAAACAATCGATAATGTATTTTATAATCATAATTATGAATAATATTTTAAATTATTATATTTAATTTCAGTATTATTTTACATTTTTTAAATTTTAATTAAATGGAGTAATGGAAATTATTTACAATTAAACTCCTGGATCTAATTGCGGATCAGACTATCCGCGACACATATTTAATCTTAACTAAGCGTGATATTGAATTTTTCCATTAAATCCAATGCTATTTATTAAATCTTGTAAAAGCCATAAGGCAATTCTTATATTAAATTTTGGATGAATTTTTGAAGATATACCTAAATTGTTCTCACGTTTTATTATTTAATTATATCAATAAAATGCGCAGCATTGCTGCTAATAAACAAGATAAACGTTTGACGATTGATAAACTTAAGACGCTAAAGAATCTTGTATGTAATATATGCGACATTCCCGATAAATATAATAATTATTTAAATATAATAAATTAATAAATCCGGAACTTATAGTGCTTGATCCACATCTAGTGTCTCTACTCCACCTATATTTAACGTAACTTTATAAGTAACACTGTAAGATATTGTGAAAATAACAGGAAATAATAGAGAAAATGGTGATAATAAAAGAGAAATATAATACAGATGTTACCGCTATATGAGAGCTAAAAGCGGGAGCATAGTCAGAAGAGGAGCTTTTATTTGAACACGCGAGAACGAATTTTCATTTCCACTGTCACGCGAGATATCTCTGAGCTATTAGCCTACATTACAACGCTAGTTTTTCTTATGAAAACGGCAGTATTTGCAGAATGAAAGTGCATTTCAGCATGTATGAGAGAACTAGCGTAACTGCAACCACGGGGATGAGTGATAAAAACTTTATGAGTATAACCGGAAGGAGTGTTCGCGCAAGCAGAATTATATTGTTATCTCGCGAGTATATAATCTCCCGTCCCCCTCTCGTTTGTCGCTTTAAAATTTGGTGCAGCGCCAGGAAAACTCATTGCCGGTCGTTCCCCGTATACATATATTGACTGACACCCGAGCGTAATAATTTACCCAGTACCTTCATAATGATCCCGGATATCTCGTAAGACGACTCGATGAGAAACCCGCTCAGTCATTCCACGCTCGGCAAGCAAACGGGATTGAAAGTGGCAAAGGCTCATTAAGAAGTTCCCCTCCCGGGGAACGAAACCCGGGAGGAACTTGCGAACTGGATCCTTCGACGCGCGAGACACCAAATGGGGAGGAGGCGCACGCCCCCGGTATCGCGAATCTCCTCTCCCCGGCTCTCTCAATCCTCATTTAGTCGCACAATGAGACGGGACGCAGGCAGGGTGCCTGCCAAGGGGAGACGAGCGCGTAGGAACAAAGAGGACTGAGCGCTTCCACGACCTTCGGAAAACGCACCCCCTCCTCCTCTCCTCCCCCCTCTCCTCCCGCCTTGCGTATAGGAGAGCGCGGAGTACGCGGGTACCGTGCATCTCGCCGAGGGTGCCGAAAGCACCCTCTTTTCCGCCGTCGGAGAGGGGTGGGGGAGAAGGGTGCAACCTTGCTTTTGACGTCGTGCAGCGTCGTGCGTACGATCAGGAGTCTGATTGGTTATTTATGACGCACAGTGGGAAATTACAATCCGACCCCTGCGCGTTTACATTGCCGTCGATAAATCTTTTTGCCATAAGCAGGCACGATCCTCTTACGTACTTGCTTACCCCCCTTTCCTCTGGCTCTTTCGAGCGAGCCCGCTTTTCACTCGATATGGGGAAATAGAGTTATATGGGGAAACTGTAAAAGACTCCGTTTTAATCGCGATTTATTCCCGTTATACCTTTATACCCAAACTTATCCAACAGGTAACTTTATTAATGAGAGGAAATTTGCTGTATATAATCTTTTCACGCGCTTCACATAAACACAGTGTTTTTTTCTTTATTAATATAAATATTTATAAATATTTCTAGTATTTATATGTTTCTGTGAACGTTAACGAATAAATATTTCTCTTTATGCTTTACAATCGAGCACATCAAATAGGGTAGGGATTACACTTAGTTCTGGATTATCCTAAGAATAAAAATCATATTTTTATCCTTCTAAAGAAAGATATCAAACAATTAGTAACATGTAAAATTCAGGGTTGGGAAGTAACTCGTTACTTGTAATGAAGTTACAGTTACAGTTACTTCTTTTCAATAACTACATATAACTTAACTTCGTTACTTTCTCCCCATGTGTAACTGTAACTTAACTTAGTTAGATTTTTTAAGTAAATAGTAACTAATTTTATAATAGTTACTTTTACAGTTATTTTAGATATATCAAATCGTCACTTTCATGGATCAAAATTATGCAACACTTTCACTCAATCACCTAATCGTAATGTTGATTGTAATTATGCGAAATATTTAAATTGATTTAAATGCTCATATTTAACAACGCGCATTACCTTTCTTTTTAAAATAAAATTATATAATATGTAAATCTTTATTTTATAATGTTAATGTTGTTCTATTAAATGTAACTAAAAAGTAACGATTCGTTACTTTTTGAGTAACTAATATAACTGTAACATGTTATTTTTCAGAGTAAGTAATTTGTAACGGTAACTAGTTACTTTTTGAGAGACAAAAACTGTAACTGTAATTAGTTACAAAAAACTTTTACAAAAAAACTTTCCCAACCCTTGTAAAATTAACACAAATGCTAAAGAATCTTGTGATATACATTCGATGAAAAGAATATAATTATTTAAATATAATAAAATAAGTTATCTGGAATTCGTGATCCATATATCTAATGCTTTTATAGCCTATAAGCACGGCGCACGTTTTTATATTTTAACTTCAAGCGTTTGAAATATAAGACAAGTTCATAATACACACATAAAACGAAAGTTAATTATGTTCACAATACTTAGAAAAATATTTCATTGATTTTTACCGTACCATTTTGAAAATATTTACTTTTAAATGTATAACATTTTTTATTACAAATATATGCATTAACCTTATTTCGTAGGTATTTTCTGTTAATTTGAAACATTTGCATATAAAACAGAAATTTAAAAATTGTTATACTTACAAGTAAATATTTAAGTTTGTTTTGACAAAATTTTATCTGAATTGACCGTCTAGTTTGGAAGAAATTTGTATTTGTTGATAATGAAAAATAAAAATATTAGTTAAATAGACATGTTGTCAAATTTAACACAAACTATAAAACGATATATATATTTGATGCATAAGTAAAAATACGACAAATTTATAATAAAAAATGTTAATTTATACATTTTTTATTTAGATTATATTTTATTTATTATTTTTTAAGTTATAATAGTAAATAAATGTCACATTTATATTTCAGAGTCTTATAACTTTTATTTTGTCATTTTAAAAATATTTCCTAACATAGAAAACTAATAATGATTATGTATAATGACATTATAGTGAAATAGATATTGTTGATAATATACGTTTTAATGTTATTATTTTAATCGTTTTACACCATTTTAAGGATAAACTGTTTATTGACTAGAGAGTAGCGCTGGAACTTCCTTAATCCGACTGCGGAAACGGCTGATGTTATTGTCCTAATTAATCTCAATCTGAAAAATAGAGAACGCGGAAGAAAAGATAGCGGAAAGGTGAAATTTATTATCACGTCAGTCGACCGTAATCCCTCGTGTCGCGATGCGATTCAAAAAATATTGCCGTTAACGTCGACACCGTCTCCAGAGAACGAGAAACAATCCGGCTGTGTGTATCCACTTCTACTGTGTCCGGGCGTCCCTTAGTTTGCTCTTGGAACAATGGTCCACCGACGGGTGGGATATTGTCGTCTCGTTTCGTACGGTGATGTCGATGTATGTACCTGTCCAGCGTGCGAATAATGGGGCAAGGCCTATCCCACGCGCATTATGCCTTGTATAACCATTGCCGAACGAAACGGCAATAGAGATTTTGGGGAAAAGATTCGAAATTTGGCCGTGCTAAACGTCGAGTCCAGCAAAAAAGAAACGCAAACAGCACTCGGTATCCTCATCACGCTTTCGTCTTTTCACCCCGCGATTTCCCTTTGTGTCCGACCAAAGTACGCTAGTTGTGTTTCGCATGCCGAATTGTGTGCGTTCGGGCTCCGGATAAATTCCGGAATTGTCATGCTAATCAAGTGTCCAGGTTATATATATATATATATATATATATATATATATATA